CCAGATTGGGCCCTAATATCAGTTTGTGTTTCTACAGTTTCAGGGCAAGGCAAAGTCATAATGGAAACCAGTTCTGGATCATCTAAGCCATGTTCAACATATATTTCTCATTTCTTACCCTTCAAAGTAATCTGAACTAAGTGCAGACTGTTGGCATCATTATTTAACAGCTTCAAACACTTAAAAGATTCTTCAGGTAATTTGTATGTTATTGATACAATGTTTCCATATCTTTGCTCTTTTATGTACTTCATAAGATGTGGATAGCATACCAAGTCTGGGTCAACTTTTACAGATTCTAATTCTCCACCTACATACTTAAGGCTAGGGGTTTTTACAAAGTTACCACCATGGTGAATAAGTAATTCAATACAATCTGACATCCTGAAATAGAATAAGTAAATGCACAATATAAAAATCACAAGCAGACAAAACTAATCTGTTTCACATGTTTTTACAAATATTAAATACACAAACTCAAAAGCACAACAACCAAACCATTAAAGAGTAGTGTTTTGTAGGACCCCCACAGGACCACATTACACTTTCCTACAAATTGTCTGGACCACACACAACAACAAGCATATTTCTTTTTCAAAAAACAAAGCAGGACCACTTCAACTATTTACCACTTTATATAACAGCAAAGCAACAAGAGAAAAGCAAAGCATTCGACAGTAGCAAAGGAAGCATTCGACAGTAGCAAAACAAAGCTTACCTTGGTGCTCGTCAATGGCGTCGACGGGTAGTCCACCACGCAGGTCTTCTATGTCGTCAATGTTTGATTCTCCACCAGCGTCAATTTTGTCGAGCTTAGTATTCGAATTGGGGATTGGGTATTTGAAAACTAATTTCTCCACTGTATGTACGTTAGGGTTTAGGAAGTATGAATTGGGGATTTGGGAGCAATTTCAGGCAAATGAATGAGTTGTTTGTTTGTTTTTGCCATGTGTTTTTTATTTTTTGTTATTCTTTTCCATGTCAACAAAACACCTAAGCTTAACCGGAACACATCATCAGCAATGGGGTGGTTACCTACGAAACAGGCTAAACAAACAAATTTAGAAAGTTAGTTGGGGTGATTACACTATATTTTAGTCCGTGGGTGGAATTAAACAAATGAACACTTCACTATAGTAGATGGGGCTATACGACACTTCTCCCTTTTTTAAAAAAAGTGTGAACTACTCATACTAATTAAAAAGCTCTCTCCTGTGCATAGGTGCAAAATAAACTTTGACTGACACAATCTTAATTTTAAGTTGTAATTCTGATATAATAATAATAATAATAATAATAATAATAATAATAATAATAATAATAATAATAATAATAATAATAATAATAAAAATAATAATAATAATAATAATAATAATAAAAATAATAAAAATAATAATAATAATAATAATAATAATAATAATAATAATAATAATAATAATAAGGTTCGGAGAAAAAATTTTCTAGTGGGATAAATATAAAAACAAAAGAGATAGTTTAAAACAAATAAATAAAAGAAATAGGAAGCATAGCTATAAATACTGTTGGATATGAACGAAAAAAAAAAAAACACATCAAAAACTTATAAAAATAACTATAACAAAATATGAAACATTATATACTTAGTAATAGGCGCTACGCGCTACTCGGGCGGTAGAGTAGCGCCTAGCGCATAGACGGCGTAGGCGGCGCGCCTATGCAGCTAACTAAAAAAAAAAAAAAAACAGTGGACATGTGTGAGTGTGTATGTCATATTATATATATATATATATATATATATATATATATATATATATATATATATATATATATATATATATATATATATATATATTTATATGATGAAAAAAGATTAACAAGGTCAAGCTTACTGGGTTAACTCGGCTAACTCGACCGAGTTAGGCGCTAGGCGGCCTAGTCTGCTAAGTTAGGCGCTAGGCGGCCAATCGCCTACGCGGACGCCTAGGGAGGAAATCGTCACGGTCTAGGGGCGCCTAGCGCCTAGACTAATTTTTGCAACAGTGATTGTAAATCACACATCTCATTATATATATATATATATATATATATATATATATATATATATATATATATATATATATATATATATATATATATATATAATGATAATTGTTGGATATAAGTGAAAAATAAAATACATAATAAATGTAAGTAACACCACACTAACAAAAAAAAAAATCATGTTAAGAGCCAATTCAAATCCGTGAATTTTCATAAGTAAGTTGCACGCATGCTTTACCAACTCATCTTTCATTTAGTTTTATCTGTATTTTATATTTATACCTAAACATACAGTATGTATACATATAATTACTAGGACTATATATAGGGTGGGGGGAGGGGGCAGCTATCCCACTGCTCCACTATAACTCCGCCCCTGATAATAATAATAATAATAATAATAATAATAATAATAATAATAATAATAATAATAATAATAATAATAGCTAACCAACAAAGGACTACAATGAGGTAAACTAGTTTAAGTTGTCTATATAGTTAATCCGTTCAAATCAATAAGATCGATATACAATTATTATTATTATTATTATTATTATTATTATTATTATTATTATTATTATTATTATTATTATTGAAATTGAAATTATCAAAACAATTGTCTAATTAACTTGGATGAAATTGCCGGTTAACTAATTATATTTACTGTATGAGCTCGTGGTAAAAAAAAAAAAAAAAAACAGAATTAATCAATATAGTTAATATCCATTCGATGGAGCGTTATGCCATGGAACCGTGTTCACCATTCATGGTGAACACGGTTCCAACGGTGTTAGTACACCGTTTTTTTTTTCTTTCTTAATTAATTGTGTGACTTTTCTTCTTCATTTTCACATTCTGCAGTTTCACTTTAATTTGAGGTGAACAATGATTTCGGACATTCATAAATTATGAATTCATGCCTGCACATTCACTTTGGAACCATGCCTATTCCCGTCCGAAATCACGGACATTCATAAATTATGAATCCATGCCTGCACATTCACTTTGGAACCATGCCTACACATTTACTTTGGAACCATGAGATTATGAATTTTCTGTTATAAGATTATGAATTTTCAGTTATGAGATTATGAATTTTCTGTTATGAGATTATGAATTTTCTGTTATGTGATTATGAATTTTCTGTTATGTGATTATGAATTTTCTGTTATGAGATTATGAATTTTATGAAAATTCATAATCTCATAACAGAAAATTCATAATTTGATCAACGCGCGCCGTTAACTCCACATCCGCGAAACTTTTTTTTTTTGCCTAAAAACGGCGTCGTTTGGCCTTGTGTTCACCATTCACGGTGAACACGTTTCCAGGGCATAATTTGCCCCATTCGATACGATAGGCCAATCATGTGACCCAAGGACAGACGTTTGATGACGACAAATTATTGTGTGGATTGTGGTTCACATGGTTGTGTGAATCACGGTCTAAAATAACATCGTTTTGATGTTAAAAAATTTTACTTTGTGTATATGTTAGAATAATAAATATTTTGGGATAAGATAATATATTTTATGAGTTAGAATAATGTACTTTATATGTGTTAGAATAATCAAATTTATGGGATAAGAAAATGTATTTTATTAGTCAGAATAATGTACTTTATATGTGTTAGAATAATGAAATTTATGGGATAAGATAATGTATTTTATTAGTCAGAATAATGTACTTTTATATGTTAAAATAATGTATTTTATGTATTAGAATAATGTACTTTACATGGTCCACACAATAATGATTGTATTATGATAGCTTTGTAATATAATTTGAACCCAAAATTCACTGAATTAAACAAGGTTGAAAGTTTACTGGGCCTATGAAATGACCCGCTTTTAAGTTGAAATGGACTGTCTGGACACTCGGATAGCCCATCCACTTTCCCGTTTCAGGCAAATTATATTATGCACTGCGGGTCCTTTTGTTAAATGAAAACTGAAAAGAAACGGTGTTTATTTTCCGCCGTTTCGCACCATTTCGCAAAAAGTAACCCTGTTATTCAGTGTCATTTTATATACACTGCAGTTCCAGTTCAACACAACTACAGTTTAATTTCGATATAATTATAGTTTCATTCGATATTTATAGACTCAAATATGTGAAAATGTTATTTAATTTTATTTTATATACAATATAGTTTCATTAAAACACAACTACATGATCATTTTGATATAATTACAGCTTCATTGTACAATATACGCTCAAATATATGAAATGTTATTCAGTTTCATTTTATATACACTGCAGTTTCATTTCACTATAACTATAGTATCATTTTGATATAACTGCAGTGTCGATTTAGATATACTGTAGTGTCAGTTGGTGTTTAATATACCAAACTAGCAGACTCCATTAACTATAGCGGCGGACCGTTTCTTTACTTATTGTGTGTATAAGTTAGTTTCAGCTATAACGACGGCCCGTTTCAGCTTCCCCCAATTTTGGCTCGAAATTTTACATTTTCTGCAAAATTAGAGGTTTCCGATTCCCAATTTCGCAAGACGTCAAAGAAGATTATGCAGCGAGGACGAGTTTAAGAAGTGGACATTTTTGCTCACAGTCCATTAATGTAGTTGATTTACTCTTTAAATCTGCAAATCTGCAGAATTTTTGGAAAACATTTTGTCGTGGTGTAAGAAAATACCTCATCATTTTTACAAGTAGCACCATGCTTCTATGGCTACTGCCTACTGTCTCTTCTAAGTTCTTTGAATATCAAAGATCAGGTTGCCCAGTGAAATGCAGTTGTTTGAATTCTAACTTATTCCACTAATCATGTGGGACTATGTTCCAATCAATTCATTTCTTGTAGCTTGTTTAAAGGTGAGTGAAATAGATGTTCAAAATGATTTTATAGGGCTCCCTTGATCTGTGAATTGTGGATTTTATACATCTTCAAGATGATATTATTGTGTTTGACAGGAGAAAGAAGTATGATTCAATCTGGAGAATTACTGAGAAGGTAGTGAATACAAACTGGGATCTTCTCTTTTATATATGTTCCATTACAATATGTGTCTCATTGTACAGAGTTCACTTTCTAGTTCTTATACAGTACAGTACTGAATTGGTAGAATCAACAGGCTGTGTTTCTTGATGAGCATCTAATATTATTTATTATGAAATTACTTATTGGTGTTTCATTCCCCATCACAGCAACTTGCTTAATTCTGCATCTAGAAAACAAGAAATTTGGCGAATTAGAAGAGTTGTGTGCCTTAAATTTTAGGACATGCCTGAATTGACAGTACTACATATACTCAAATGTCATCAAACATTATTAACATACCTTCTTCCTTGCACCTTGTCCTTGATCGCCCTCATCGCTGCTGCTGCTGTTGCTGCTTGTATCGCCTGTTTTTGCTTCATTGTTCTTTTTCTTTTTTATGATCTTCATACGAGCACGTATGTTTGGCATGCAATTCGTTTCTTTCTTTTTCCTTTCGGCAGAAGGTGTTTGGCATGCTTGGTTTGCAGATTGATGATGGCCTTGCCCATTTGAAGCTGCCTGGAGGTTTCCATGCTGGTCATTATGATGAAACATCTTGTTTGCCATCCCTTTCACTTTTTCTCTACAAGACTGATGAGTTTTGTTGGCCTTCTGGGTTGTAATAACAGCAGAGGGTTGGACATTATCGGATTGCTGTGCAGGCTTCTCACTCTGAATTGTTGCCATTCAATGGTTGATGAGCTGATGAAGCGTTAACCTGCAGAGGTATTCTACACCTTTTTGTGCTTAACTTGCTATTCATTGCAATGGCGATTGAACTTATATTAACATATTGCCATGATTGAGTTCAATTGTTTACTCAACTTCATTTCCATTTCAGTTGTCCCATCATACTTCGAATCTTCCCCCACTGCCAACTCCAAAGCTATACAGAATTTATTCCATCACCTGCATAGTGTTGCTTTTACTATTATATTATTAGCTTTGGCTTGTCAGTTCAGATGCTTTTTCTTCTCCTAAAAGATTGAATCCCAACACCAAAGACCGAGAATATAAATCACGGTGACTTAGATAGGACCAAATGTCGGTGCCCACACTTTGATTGCCGGGATTCGAACCTTGTCTCTTCTCTCAAATATGTCTACTGAACTAGTGAGTTAAGCCCATGCGAGCCTGATGCTTTTTAACATGAGGTCATGAGTGGTTTTTTATTTTTGTTTGTGAATATTTTAGTTCATATTAATACAAGTATTGGTTATACATATATAATAATTTGATATTGGAGGTGTTCGGCAATTAGTTGATAGTTTATTGGTTTAGCTAATAGCTGATTTGTGTTAGTTATTTTGACTGGTTGATAACATTAGTTAGTTATAGAAAAGTATTTAGTAAATTAGTTTATTACATGTAAAATGACTTATAAGTGCATAATTGTATTGTGCTATTTATTAACTCTTAAAGTACTTAAAAGTTTTAAAAAGTTCATACACGGCTCTTAAATTATTTTTACAATTTGTTGTTGTTGTTATTAATTATTTTTAACTATTATTTTTTATTTTATTATTAAGAATGCTATAATTATAAAAAAAAAATACTCTGTATTTGTTATATGTTATATATAGTGTGTGTGTATATATATATATGTGTGTGTGTGTGTTTTGATATTTAATTATTATAATCATCACATTTCTCATTAAACTTTAATGGGAATTCTCTATTGCGACCCCACCCCATTTTTCTCAAATGCTTGGAGCATCCATTCCCTTCCATGAGATAATTTTCTTATTTCATTCTTTGCATATGCACCTATAGTAGTGACTGGCAGCTATTATATGTGTAGGGATAATTACAGGATAGAAAATGTGTGGGATATATCCATTCTCAATCTTGACTTCACTTGAATGTAGGCGAAAAATAAAACACATTAAAACTTTATAAAAATATTCATAACAAAATATGAAACATAACTAATTTGGTAAAATAATTCAAATAGAAAACACATTATAAATTACACATCTAATTATTAATATAAAAAAAAAGTTATATACGGAGTATATTTTAAAAAGTCATAAAGAAGTTATAAAAAAAAAGTTATATACGGTAATACGGAGTATATTTAAAAAAGTCATAAAGAAATTGTTAAAACTTAAAAAACCAAACAGAAGGGATTAAAAATCAAGAATATTTTACTGAACAACAGAGGATTCGAACCCCAGACACTTCCAAGCATAGAGATGACCACGTTTCCGGTTCGAACCGTAGGTTCGAACCGTCGGAACCGAACCGGAACCGTCCGTACGGTTCCGGTTCCGGTTCTTAACCGGAACCTATAAGGTTCCGGTTAAGGTTTGTAAAATCTTGGAATCGGAACCGGCGGTTCCGGTTCCAAAGCGGAAAAAAAAAAGAATATTATAGTGTTTTTTTTTAATTTTTTTTAAATAGTTCCGGTTAGAACCGGCGATTCCAACCGGAACCGGAACCAGAATCGGAATCGTGGTCACCCCTATCCAAACATCAAACACGCGCCTTGCCAACTCGCCTAACTCATCCATTAGTTACTCTTGTCTGTTCTTTTATATTAATATCTAAAACATGTGTGTGTGTATATATATATATATATATATATATATATATATATATATATATATATATATATATATATATATATACACGGGCTATATATGGGGTGGGGGTGGGGTGAGTGGGGGCAGCTGCCCCCACTGTAGGTCCGCCCCTGTCTATATCTAAATTAAATCCACTTTCATATACTATTTTTTTTTAAATACTCATAATTCTTTACAATGTAGTATCTGTTCCCCACCATTGGTTCGAATCTATGACCACCCATTTGGAATGGTAACCGGGATGTCATCAGACTATATTTTCATCTGCTATTCTTTTTTTGTTACAGATATAAATAAAACTTTGTCATTAATTTTTGATTTTATACAAGCACTATAAATTTGGAATGATTTTTTTTTATAACTTCAATATAAAAGTATTTATAGTATCTACTCACCATGACTATGCCAACATCTTTGATTGGGATGGGAGTATGGGACACATGTGATCTCCCTTTTTGAATGATGATATCATCAAATCATAAGGTACTTGATATAAATTTGAAGTGATAATTCAATGTCAAAATGAGAAAAGACATTGTCTCAAAGAATATCAGATTTAATGACCTTTAGACTAATCATTATACCGTAGACCATTGTAAAATTCATTTTTAGTATATTGAAGGTTTATTTTTAATGTACTGAATGTTCATTGTTAAAAATGAGCTTTTAATACTGATAGGGAATATAGCTGGGCGTATAGACATTCATCTGGTCGGCACATACCTCTTGACCCATGAGGAGCAGTTTTCTATCCAAACTGACCTCATTCTACGCAACAACCCAACCAGAGCTCAGGCATGGATCCATGGCTAATTATGTATGTTGTAACAAACTCGACCTGGGGTCGGGCCCGACTCGGGGGCCCCAACTCGACCTCTCGAGCAGATAGCCTTTTGCGTCCAGGAACAAGAATCGTGAAGCGACAACATGACGACCAATCCCATCACCTTAGGGCTGTCGGGCATCTTTAGGCACGCGGACCAATCTATGCAGCCACCGAACCCCTCGAATGCATGTGGAACACGTGGTAGGCATGTCGGAGGGATGACATGTGCGCCTTCCTCGCTCCTATAAATATCACATTAAATAGTTGAAGGGGGGGGGGGGGGGGGGGGGGGGACTTTTACATTTCTACCTGCCCACAATCAACTCGGACCTCACCGTCACCTGTTCCTGAGTCTAAACACTTAAACCAACAAGCAGACTCGCTCAATCTAACGCATTGAATCTGTATACCTACAATTACCTACATACTCCGGTGTATTTACTACATCAAATACATTTTATTTTAAAACAGAACCTTCAATACATTAAAAAAAAAAACAATATATTAAAAACAAACATTTATAATGTAGATCATGTACACAATATAATTTGCCCCTTTAGATCATGCCAAAGTTGTGCAGAAGTTGCTTATCTTCTGGATGGCAAATTATTGTGTGGACCATGGTCCACATAGTTGTATGGACCATGAATGCAATATACATTTTTAATATATAAAATATATGTTATTTGTGTACTGAATGTATATTATTTGGATGCATTTTGTCCTTTAATTGGACCGGACCGATGAGAATGTGGATTAGTCTAAGTATGGTACGGACTTAAAGGTGTCTTTTATAATTAGGGTCTGCTCAGGACACCTCAGGACTTGACTAAAAAAAAAAATACTTTTAAAATATTAAAAATATACTTCTTATTTATGATTCATGTAAATATGTGGACCATGATCCATGGAATAATGATTGCTTTAGGATTGGGTCAACAAGAAAATTGGGAAAGGCTATAACTCAAAACGGACTTTTTAGATAGATATTTGCAGTACCCTTCTTTGAAGCCCAAAAATGTGTGGATACAGGTTTGTTTTAGATTTGGGTGAGATTCTTGTGGCATGGATAGTGCCTAATATTCACACAAACTTAACTTAATATTTACAAATGTGGGGTATGCTAAAGGGCCTTCAGCTTGTGTGAGAAGGGAGTTATAGACAAATTTATATTGAGAGAGACTGCTTTGCCAGTTATATTTCGTGGAAATTATGGAATTTTTGACCACCTAAAAGTGATCTTAAATCAAGTTGAAAGTCTTGTTCCGACCACTTTTAGTATCCGGAAAAACTTTTGTTGCTATTTCCGACCACTTTTTGGTATTAACTTGATTTAAGATCACTTTCAGGTGGTCGGAAATTCCATAATTTCCAGTAGTGTTTGTTAATGAGAGGAAGGAGATGAATGAATGGTCCGATCAAAATCATTCTTGAAATTTGTAAATGCATGATTGACAGAGGGTGGGAGTTCAACTTCTCTCTTTTGGGTTATCTCGTTTGTTTTTAAAAATTAATGTTTTACTTTCTATAAAGTACACAAATTTCACTTTAAAAAAAAAACAAAAATATTTATCATACTAACACTCTTACATTAATATAATATTAAAATTTTAGTACATATAATATTTTTCACCGACTTTTTCATAATGATGTATATTAACAGTTCTAAGTTATCGATGGGGATATAGGACCTTAGGGGGTCTATTTTATTGGGAAAGTATTGGTCCAAGTGGGGATGGTGAAAGAAGGAGGTTGGCCCAAGTCTTGTTGGGCTAGGAAGACAAGCACGCATGGTGGGCCGGGGTGAAGAGCATGGACCGGAAGGGGGGAGGTAGGTATGGCGTGAGGGGGGGAGGTAGGTGCGGGAGGTAGGTATGGCGTGAGGGGGGGTGGAGGAAGGTGCGGAAGGTAGGTACGGCGTGAGGGGGTGGAGGTAGGGGGGAGGTAGATACGGCGTGAGGGGGAGAGGTACGTGCGGGAGGTAGGTACGGCGTGAGGGGGGAGGTAGGTGCGGGAGGTAGGTACGGTGTGAGGGGGAGAGGTAAGTGCGGCGTGCATGGTGGAGGATGTTAGTCAGCGTGCGCGGTGTGGATGCGGGAGTCGCGGGGATAGCGACGACGTGACGTGCAAGCGGAGTGGGGAGTAACAACGTGGGATGCGCGGACGCCAGAGGAGGGGGACTTGCTATAAATAGGGGCCCTGGATCTTTGGCTAAGGGCAACTCAGATAGGATAGGCACTACGGTCTAGTGGTCTTAATCTCATACTCTCAATTCAGTCACCTGGGTTCGATTCCTACCAGTAGCATAGTTAGTTATGAATAGTTATGCTGTGCATCTGTATGCACCATGCATGGTGCATACAGATGCAAAAACGACGTCGT